ATGGAGGGCGAAAGTACGTCGGCGGTGCTCTCGGGCTTTGTGCTCGGCGCGCTCGCCTTCCAGCACCTTAACACCGACTCGGACACGGTGAGCCGAGGGGCGGGACGGGCTGCGGCGTCGCCTCGGCAGGGGGCCTGCGCGCGGGCACCCTCTCCGCCGCCGCCCCGGAGCTCGTCAGCGAGCTCGACGCTGCAGTGCCGCTCTGTGCCCTCGGGTCTGCCTCCTCCCGCTCCCGGGCTGTCTTCGTTGTGCCCTGCTCGCTGGGGCTTTTCCAGGATTAGTCCGCTTCTAACCCGCGTTTATCCCATGCCCGGCACGAGGGCCCCACACCCCCATTACTCTTTCAACAGCCCCCACCCCCTTTTTCTAGCTGCACTGGGTTTGAGAGGGTAGAAAAGTTCACGTAGCGGTCTCGTGCTCCCACTAGGGGGACACCGGTTGACTTTCACTTTCTCTAAACTGCCTACAGTCGTTTTCAAAGACAACTTAATTTTTTTTTTTTTTTTATGCAGAGTACCTACAGTGCATGTTTGTTGAAATGGCAGGCTGGTAAGGGGATAATAGGTATTACATCCAGTAACATTTTTTAGATCTTAGTTAATTTGAAAAAGCTTATTCTGGTATAACAGAGCTAACTTGTTTGCATGATCATGCAAATTTACTGTAAGGACCCAGCTAGTTCCTTTTCTGATACTCCCACTCACAATTTAAAATTAGTTTTATCTTCAGATACCTAAATCTTTCATACTCTGTCAAAGTTCAAAACCTGGTGACATTAAGTAATGAAAGTTTTTAAAAAATACAACGCTTATTTTTCTAGAACTTTTATTTTTATGAAATTTTAAAACACAGCACTGTTCCACTTTGAGTCAACACAGTGTCTTAACAAGGACTTAAGATTTGCTAATACAGTTTAAAAATATATAATGCCAAAGTCTCGTAATTTCTGCAGTTCGTTTTAAAGTAGAGGGTCTATGTTATATATTTTCTTGGGCACAGTTCTAAAACTGGACTTGATATTTTTTGTGTATACAATTTAGATAGGTGTAGATAGACACCTAGCAAGAGCGAATATATGACAATTTAAAATGTATGTATCCCTGGAAATGATTTTGTAATGTTTTAATGTAAACAACAGAATGGGCTTATGCCCCCTTAAAGGAGCTCTGGAATGGTATGGTGTTAGAGAGGCCCTTGTTTCTTAGATCTTTTTCCTAAACTCTTAAGTCTAAAGAAAGGTTTTCTAGATAGTTGTAATTGAATTTTTCATAGCTTCTTTTTCTAGGGTTTCTCCTTGGAAGTATCAAAATCAACAGTGAGATGTAAATTTAGTTTCCCCTAGTTTTCATATTCATTCCATCGTGGAAGCACCCCTTTTAATGAAGTGGGGACTGCACTCTTAGCTAATTACAAAGATGATCAAGTCCATACTCCATGGAGCACAATGGGGTTTTATATTTATCAATTCTATGAAATTCAAAGAAATCACCAGGGTTGGGGCAAAATGTGTTTTTAAAAAGAACCAAGGCTCAAGGTTACCCTTTTAGAAAGCAGATTCTGACATTGAATCTTAAATCTTGACTATTTTGCATGATTTTTATTTTAAAAACACCTATCATTGTGTCACTTATGGTTCAGAATCCTCCACTGGCTCCTAGCTGGATGTGCCACCAATTCAGTCGTTGGCTAGACAATCAGGGTGTTTAATTATTGGTGCTAAAATCCTGTCTGCTTTCCTGAACTCACAAATGAGTCTTCTGTTTTAAGACAAATTGTCAGTTCTTCCTTCCTTAAACATTGTATGCTCAATTTTTTTGTTTTTCTTTTTTTGTCTTCAAGTCTTTTATGCTAAGAAGTTTGCTAAAATCACAATAGTATTTATAATCTCTTCTACTCTTAATTTAACTGGTTATGTTTCCCAACTAAACTGGTAGTGTTTCTTCTGTGTGCTCCCAGTACACATTTGTGTACATCCTAACATACCTGAGAAATATTGTTTCATTAAATAGCTGAACAGTAATTTTAATCTGTATTCCATATACAACTTATTTTTATCCTCATAGGAAGGTTTTCTCCTTGGGGAAGTGAAAGGTGAAGCTAAGAATAGTATTACTGATTCCCAGATGGATGATGTTGAAGTTATTTATACAATTGGTGAGTCACTTGTTTCTGTCTTCTATTCTTGATAGCCTGTGCTGAAAGGGATAAGCATTAACTTTTTGTTAAAAAAAAAAATAGGCGTCACATTTTAAAAGTAAATTTTTAAATATACTGCACTCATTTCTTAGTTAGGACCATGCACTGACCTAAGGGAAGAAGCAGTATAAGACATGGGAGCCAGGTAAGATTACAGTGTGGGAAAAGGCTGACATAGTTTCCACATGTATTTGAATGGCAGAGAGATGATCCAACAACAAAAAAACCTCAGTGATTAGATTCCTCCACCAAGATGTCATTAATGCAAAATAGTATTCGTGTGTAGTTTGCCATTCTTCTGTTGGTGGTGTTAAATATTTATTTATTTATGCATACAAGAACAGGAGTGCAGGCCAGAAGTGCAGTAGTGTCGGGGGTAGGGTAAGAGGATTCACTAGAGACAGTGGGAAGCAGAATGGACAGATGTATTGAAATACACTGCTGAGGGGAGCAGTGAGCAAGACAGGATGTCTGCTGCACCACAGGGGTTGGCTTCATGGTTAGGGATTGAACTCATGTTCCAGTGGCTACAGATAGCCTCACAGTGCTGAGACTTAACCTAATGTGCCACCAGGGAGGCCTCAACTTTGCCATTCATTCTTTTTTTTTTTTTAAGATTTATTTATTTATGCATTCAAGAACTGGGGTACAGACCAGCGGTATGGGGGGTGAGAGGATTCAACAGAGACAAAGTATGGAACAGAACAGGCAGATCTACTGAAGTACACTGCTGAGGGGAGCACCAGGTGGGGCAAGAGAGGTCTGCCACTCCCTTGCAGGGAGTGGAACTCATGCTGCAGTGACTTCAGATAGCCTCACAGTGTTGTGTTTTAATCCACTGCACCACCAAGGAGGGCCCAAGTTTGGCATTCTTTCTAATGGTTGTATACTCATATTATATGGATGTTAAATTAACTTATTTAAGCAGCAGTGAATGACTTTTAACACAGAATATTACAATTAATACTTTACAGTGCATCATACATCATTGAGTAGCTCTGAAATTCGAATTCCTAGAGGTAGACGATTGCTTTTTGGAAAAGTTACACATTTTAAGACTGCTCTATCTTATGTAAAATTGCCTGGGTGTCCATAATTTTGCTACCATTAGGCATTAACAAATCTTTGTGTCTTTGTAGATTGGTAAGTTTAAAAAAGTGATTTTTTTTTTTTGCATTTCTTAATTTAAATGAGAGGAGAATTTGACTTTTTTAAGGCTTAAGTATGTTTTCTATATCTTGACTATGTTTCTGTTGGGCTATTTTGTTTTTTCTTACTATGTAATACCATAGTATAGCTTAAGGAAGTTGGACTTTTATCATCTGTTACATACATCCATATAATTTGTGATTTTTAGATCAATTAGTGTTGTTTTCTTCTGTTTACACCTTCAGTTTTAAAAGCCCTTACGACATATTTTTCCTCATTGAACTTGGCCTGCTGCTGAAAGTATCTTAACATATTTTGAGTGTTTATTATGCAACTATTTACTTGCATCTCCACTGTGGTAGGAACAATGCTAAGCTTTAAGGTGCCAGGCCAAATGCTAAAAAAACCACTTAAGTATCTCAAATTTATTTTTAAATGTGATCACGGGCCCTCCCTGGTGGCGCAGCAGATTAAAGCACAGCACTAAGAAGCTTAAGCCACTTCAGCATGAGTTTGATTCCTGCCTGCCCCAGAGGAGATCCACATAGCGAGGCAGACCTCTCTTGACCCACCCGCTGCTCCCCTCAGCAGTGTACTTTGTCGATCTGCCTGTTCTGCTCCCCGCTCTGTCTCTGGTGAATCCTCTCACCCTGCACATCTCTGACCTGTACCCCAGTTCTGTATGAATAAATAAATAAATCTTTGGAAAAAAAAAAAGTTGGATCACTTTAAAACAGATGGTTAGTAGATAAAATCCAAGATCAATAAAGTACCACATTATGAGCTTTCCATAATCTTACACTTACCCTTCTCTGCATCAGAATACAGCAGCTCATTGAATAAGGTCATTTTATTCAACAGCATTTCATTATAACATTGACAAGAAAAAAAATAACCCCACTGTTGACTGAAATGACATTATTCAGGATCTACTTCTGTTAGACATTTTACTTAAAGTTTCCAAGAACATGGTAAGTGAGGAATTACTGTATGTTTGCCTATCATTTAACAAAGACTATTCTTGTGTAGTGTTTTTTTCAGATAACATACATTTTTTCAGTAACATACATTTACTAGAAGAAAAATACCTAAACAGGATGATCACTTTTCTTCCTAAATGTGGTAGTTTGAACTAGCAAGAAAATAAAACTCTTAAAATATTTTTTCACCCTGTAACCTAGTTATATTCATGAACCCTCTATGAAATGGACTACTTGGATGAACAAAAGCTAATTTAATAGCTATTTTTATGAATTGGGTAAAATTAGAGCATAACCTTTTAAGAACTCTGAAAATAACAGCAACTTTGGCATTATCTTTTGTGTTGCCTATTTAAACATATTTAGAGAGAATTAGCATTCTGGTTACAAGTGAGGCTCTGAGCTTGAATCTTGGCCTCACCATGGGAATGGGTGAGCCATTTAACCTCTCTTCTACCTCATCTTTAAAATGAAAAGAATGGTAACATCTTTCTCAGGTTTGTTGAGAGGTTTAAAGGAAATAATGATAAAGTATGTCCTAATATAAGGTGTTCAATGTGTTTATTGCCATAATGATAATGTAATCATGACTGAAATTCTTTTTTTCCCCACAGACATTCAAAAATATATTCCATGCTATCAGCTTTTTAGGTGAGTAGCAAGTAAATGAATCCCTGTGAAAATTAATGTCTACAAGTAAAATAATATTTTAAACTAATAGTACCCTAAAGCTTCTTTTTTCAAAGATTTATTTTTAATCACATAAAACAGCTGGGTGTAAACTAGAGGGGGAGCAGTGTGAGAGGATACCACAGAAAGAGTGGGGAGCAGAAGAGGCAGATTCATTGAAATACACTGCAGAGGGGGCAGCGGAAGGGACAGGAGAGGTCTGTTGCGCCATGTGGGTCACCCTCTGGCAGGGGATACAACTTGTGCTGTAGTGGCTGGCAGTAGCTTGATAGTGCTGAGGCTTCTTACGCCACCAGGGAAGCCTAATTCCTTATAGGATAAGATGGTGGTACTAATTAAAAAGATTTCCTTTCAGTTACCCATGATTTTTAACTGTTGAGTAGTTTTTTCTCTATATTTATATGCTCAATTTAACCAGCCTGCGCTGACTATTCCAGGTACCATATACCTTGAGGATAACTTTCCTTCTTATACACTGCTTGCATATTATAAACTCAGTGACATAGTCTCATACACCAATGGCAGCCCTTTTTTATATGCTTTTATTCCAGTTTATCATCTTTTTACCTCATCTATATAGTTGTTATTTTCTATCACACCAATTAAGTTTTTTTTTAATATCACCTACTTCCTCTAGCTTATTTAAGGTGAAAATTTGCACTGTTATTCCTACAGATAGTCATTCCATTAAACCTAGTAGACTGGTATTTTTTTAAAAAGATTTATTTATTTATGCATACAGAAGTGGAGTACAGACCAGAAGTGCAGGGGCAGTGATAGGACTCACCAGAGACAGTGGGGAGCAGAACAGGCCGACTGATGAAGTACACTGCTGAGGGGAGAAGTGGGTGGGTCAGGAGAGGTCTGCCACACTCTGTGGATCACCTCAGGGGCAAGCGGGGATCAAACTCATGCTGAAGTGGCTTTAGCTTCTTAGTGCTGTGCTTTAACCCACTGCACTACCAGGGAGGGCCCTATTTTTTAAAACATTTTATTGAAATATAACGTGCATATATATATATATATATAAAAAGAAACTACATAAATGAATTTTCATGAAGCAGTGTAATCCCCACATTGTAGTTTTAATAAAATAGCTTTACTATTTATATAGACTTAACGTGAAAATCCCTTAGTCACACTATTAAGTATCTCTAAGGTTGTGTAAGAGTTATAGTGGGATATATGGCTAAGGAGAAAAAATTCTATGGTCAGCAATGACAGAAATAAAGCCTTAGTGTAGTTTTAAACTGCTGTCCCAGAAAGAGACATAGTTCCTATGTGTCTTGTATTCAATGAATGTACAAAAATATCTGTTGAATGAGGGGGATTCTTGGTGGAGACTTAATAAAAGTAATTCCTTGACAGGGCCCTCCCTGGTGAGGCAATGGGTTAAAGCACAGCACTGCAAAAGAAGCTAGGTACCTCAGCTTCAGTGAGAGTTCTATCCCCAGAACCCCAGAGTCCCAGCCAGGAAAATGGAGGGAAGACCTCTACTGACCCGTACGTTGCTCCTCTCAGCAGTGCACTTCATCAGTCAGCCTGTTCTGCTCCCCACTGTCTCTGGTGAGTCCTATCACCGCCCCTGCACCTCGAGCCTGTACCCCAGTTCTGTATGCATAAATAAATCAATCTTTAAAAACAAAAAAAAAAGGCACTTCCTTGCCAGATACTGGACCAGCCAAGGATTAAGAAGGGAGAGTGAAAAACTAAGTGATTCATTATCTTTTGGCAACTACTTTATATTATCAGACCAACTCTAATAAATTGGAGTCTTGGAGCAAGGAAACCTCAGACGTAGTGATGAGAAGCCTATGCCTCAGATTTTAGCTTTATAGGGTAGACAAAAACTAGAAAAAGCAGGATTTTTTATTTCTAATCCAGCAGCATACCATGCTGTTTCTGTTTTGAGTAATACTAGTGAACATGTTAGAAAGTCTTATGATACCATACTTCTTAAAGCCCAAGTTCAATAAGCTTTAAAAAAAAAAAAAAGACTTCATTATTTATGCATAGAAGAACTGGGATATAAGCCATAGGTGCAGGAGCAGTAAAAGGATTCACTAGAAACAGTGGGGAACAAAGCAGGCAGGCTGACTGAAATACTCTGCTGAAGGGAGCAGCAGGTGAGACAGCAGAGGTCTGCTTCGCCATATGAGTCACCTCCCTGGCTGGGGATCAGACTTCTGCTACAGTGGCTGTGGATAGCTTCATATTGCACTTAACCTCTTATGTCACAATAAGCTTTTAATAGCAAGGTTTATGTTTTAATTCAGAGTATGGCAAAATTTTGCCTTATTGCCTATTTTTATGTAATTCTTTATTAGGAATAGTTGGGGAATTTTTAAAGATTTATTTATTCATACAAGAACTGGGGTACAGGCCAGATATGTGAGGGGGCAAGAGGATTCAGAGGAAGAGAGACAAGCAGAACAGGCAGATCTACTGAAATCTGAAATACACTGCTGAGGGAGTAGTGGGAAGGTCAGGAGAGGTCTGCTGAGCCCTGTGGGTCACCCCCCCCCCCGCCTGTTTTAAGAAATACAAGTGAACTTAACACATACCACCCCCCACCCCCCTCCCACCTCCCAACTGGGGGAATAAACCTGTGCTACAGTGGCTGCGGAGAGCTTCATAGTGCTGCACTTTAACTGATTGGTCACCAAGAGGGACCTGGTTAAGTGTATTTTTTTAAGGGTTGTAAAACAAACAAAAGAACAAATATAGTTTTGTTGCATAGTTCATCTATTCCTGTATGAAAAGGCCCTCTCTCCATGAAACTTCACATAAACTTCACAGTGTTTGCATAGAACATAGAAGATACACTATTCTTCATAACCCCTGGTCTGTGTTGCCTTATCTCCCAGTTTGAGAGGCTCTGAAGTGGGCCATCGTAAAGAAATAAGAGTGAACTCTTATATTTAGCCTTTCCATGTTGAAACAAACAAAAAAAAATCACATGGAGGGATTTCTTTGATTAGCTGAATATCCCCCCTTTGATAGATGGGACACTTAGTTTTCCCATGAAAATTTTTTAATCAAAAACTTAGGATTTAAGTCTTTGTAAATTAAGTACACATATATCCTATTAGGATATCCTTTTTCAGTTTTATGTAATGAAATTTTTTCAGTGTATAGATTAAAATTACCAGTAAAAGCCTATTAAAATTAATGTTATTTGTAAAGGATTTTTCATAACATTTCACCATCATAGAAGAGAATGTTGATCTCAATATTAAAAGAAAAATATTACTTGCAATCTGTATCACAGGGGAAAAAAGCTAGAAGCACTTTAGAATCTTTGAGTTTTCTTTCAATTTTCTTTACATCTATGACATTCTAACTACTGAAGATCTCTACATTAAACCAGTAATGTTCCTTAGTAAATCCCCAAAAAACTGGTCAAAATGTAAGTACTTCTCATAATTTTTTATGTAAGTATACCTTTAGAATAAAATGTAATTTTGTTACTGAATTTCATTACTCATGTCACACATTCTTTTGCATCCTAAGTTTTCAATTAAAAAATTGTCTTCTATCACTTTATTTTAATAACAATTGTGAAGGAACTGTAAACTGCATCTGTGAATTTACAAATACCTGTGTTTAGTAGGTAGTTTTAAGTTAGGAAAAATCCCATTTTCTTTTTCATTGCTCATGGACCTCATATTTATACCACTTAATGTCTGTTAATTTAAAAACTTACTCTACTATTTATTTTAGAACTTTACCTGGCAGATAGGTATGCAGATTTTAGTTGGATTAGTGATATCTAAAATTGAAAGTGCTGATAAAATAATTTTTAGTTTATTTGAGATGCCTTTACCTTTGGTTTTTACAGCTTTTACAGTTCTTCTGGTGAAGTAAATGAACAAGCACTGAAGAAAATATTATCAAGTGTCAAAAAGGTATCATCCAATGTATCTTCTTTTTTGGCATTATATGTATTATTTTCAGGTCCTAGAAATGTGTCATACCTTGACACAAAACTTTTAAGCAGTGTTTATCTTTACAATGTCCTGAAACACGACAAAGAAAGACTTGTCTTTTCAGAAATCCAAGATTGCTCGGAAAGCAAAACTAGTCATTAAAAGTGTTAATCTTGTACTCATCTTCCCCTGAACTACTCTAACATTGATCTTCCTTTCTATATTTCCATGGTACCTCTTCCCATACCATTTATCATTTATTCTCAGATTTAAATGTTACTGTTATTTTACATAGCTGCAGTTAGTTATGTGGCAAGGACAGTTTCCTATATAGCATCTAATTTGAATCCTCCACAGCTTAGTTGGTTAGAACTTGTTGGCTGATCAATAGATTTTCCAAATACAAGTTTTTGGTACACCTATCTTTGAAAACTTTTGGGGGGAAAAAAATGTTTTTAAATCCTTTTGATTTCTTAAAATGAAGTTGATATAGTAAAAGTAGTTTGTATCACAAAAAAAAAACAAAACAAAACACCCTTTGTTACCAGAGGCAGTGAAGGGAGGGGACAGGGAAGTTTCAGGATTGTGGCACTGAAACTTTGTTGGAGGCTGAGGAACATTCCTCTGTGGTGGTGTGCATCCATACTCCCAAAATGATATGGGTAAGTAAACTAGTGGCAAATCAATAGATCTTTTTTTTTTTCACTTTGTCTCAGCTTTTTAAAAATGTATTTTTATTTATATTTTACATCATTCTGCATTTAAATCAGTAAGACTTAAAGACAAAAAAAGCCACTGGATTGAATTTATCTAATTAGCAAACAAGGTTTCCTAGACAGGAAGTAAACTTGTTTCACAGACATTTTCTTTTAAATTTTGACTACAGATTAAGATTTTAAGAAAAATGTCTTAAAAGAAACTACAGAAAGTTAAGAATTTTTTCCCTTTAATGTATATTGAATAATATTGTAACTGAAGTATATACTTAACGATATGCTTTGATTAGACATGCTCAAAATCTTAGTAATTACTAAGCCATTCTAAAGCTGTCAGTTTTATTAACTATGACAATAACGCATTAAACTCTGCACTTGATATTTGTTCTATATTTTCTTTCAGGATGTGGTTGGTTGGTACAAATTCCGACGTCATTCAGACCAGATCATGACATTTAGAGAGAGATTGCTTCACAGAAACTTACAGCAGCATCTCTCAAGCCAGGAACTTGTTTTTCTGCTACTAACACCAAGCATAGTAACTGAAAGCTGTTCTACTCATCGTTTGGAACATGCCTTATATAAACCTCAAAAAGGGTAAATGTTAGCTCGTCACTGACTAGCTTAGCTAATAGAAAATTAAACCCAATATTTTTGTTATTCTTTAGCAGGTTACTAAATATTTCTTATTGCACCAGATTGTCATAATAATCCTCTGAAGTCAGTCTTAACTGTCTGTTCTTTACAGATGGGAAAAATGAAATTAGATAATTAGAAGCTAGGTATGAGATGCCTTTTGTATCTGGCACTGAAGATTTGCAGTTATTTATGATAAAGCGGACAAAGAAAAAAAAAGCTGCTAAATGATATAAAGTAGAATGCCTAGGTACCTGAGCAGCTTTTCTAGAACCTCTGCACTAAAACAAGGTAGTTCTTGATCCACCAAATGACTTCATAGGGACTCTCCACAGGTGATACACACATTTTCATGGATCACAAGAATTAAAAGAGTACCAAAGTTAATTTTATTATTCATGGAAGGTAAGCTAGACCTCAGCAATACGGCCTTACTTTTTACGTGCCAGTTGTTTGAAATAGCTACTAAAGGGTCTTTTCATGCTGTGTATATTTCACAGCTTTTAAAAGCCACTTGCCTCAAGTCAGTAAATTCTAATTTCGGTAGGTGGTAGGGAATGGTTTGCTTTTCGATTTGCTTTCATTCTTGTAGGGGGAAGCAGTCTATACTAATGGGTAGATAATAGTTTTTCACTTTATTCTAAGTTTATATTTTACTTTTTATTTCTTCAGACTTTTTCATAGAATACCTTTAGTTGTGGCAAATCTGGGCATGTCTGAACAACTGGGATATAAAACTGTGTCAGGCTCCTGTATGTCTGCTGGTTTTAGCCGAGCAGTGAAAACACACAGGTGAGATTCAGCAAGTATTTCCTCAGTAAACTTATTCCTACTCATTTTTTTGAAATTATTTTTTATTGCATAACAATAAAAATGAAAGGAAAAGTAATAACCACATTATTCAAGTAAACCAGACTTACTTTCTCCTTACTTGCTTCTAGCACTTGTCCATTTATGAAATATAAGAGGGAGGTTGTTGAATATCCTATATATTTTAACATATTCAGTATAAACAAAGTCATCCTCAAAATTATAACTGCTGCTGCTTTTTTCTAAGGCAGCAATTCTGAATAAAGGAATGAAATAAGGAATTAAATGAAGTCAGAAAATGAGGAGCCATGATTCATTGATAGGTTGCTGACCTATCGATTTTGTATGGTCATTAAGGGAACAATTAATGTCAGAAATAATACTGATATGATAGGGGGTAGAGGGTAAACTTTGAAAATAAGGAACATGTATTTTTCTTGGTGTCCTTATAGTTCTTAGCAGTGTATCACATTTCATTCATTAAGATAGACAAATTTACATTTCTTCAAACTGGGATGTTTTATAGGCCATGCTTCAGAATGTATTTTTTATGAATTCAGTTAACGTCTTTTAAACTAGCAGTTCCCATTATCAAGAAAGGAAACTTTATTCCCCTCCCTCCTTCAATATTTACTTTTTTTAAAAGATTTATTTATATATGCATATAAGAACTGGGGTGGAGGGTGAGAGGATTCATCAGAGACAGAATGAAGAACAGGTGGACTGACCGAAATACACTGCTCAGGGAAGCAGCAGGCAGGTCAAAAGAGGTCTGCTGTACCATATGGGTATCTCCCTGGCCTAGAGGTCAACTTGTGCTACAGTGGCTATGAGTAGCTTCATAGTGCTGTGTTTTAACAACTCTTGCGCCACCAGGGAGGTCTCAGTGTTTATTTTTACTCTTTTTTTTTTTTTTTTTTGAGTTGTGGCTATAGTACTTAGGAAGCTAAGAAGTTTATTAACAAGAAGACACATGAACTAGGGTTTCTGGTTGGTTATGCTGAATGTAGTAGGTTGCCAAAATTATGATCCCTTAAAAAAGCCAGTAAAAATCTTTCATTGCTCCTTAACTACAAATAAGCTTTTCATTGTATCTCACTGTATTACAATGTGTATATTTGTTTGAGAAAATGGTCATTTTTTTATAGCCCTGAATTTTTTAAAGAAGATGGATCTTTAAAGGAAGTACACAAGATAAATGAAATGTATGCTTCTTTACAAGAAGAATTAAAGGTAAGTCATCACATCAAACATTTAAAGATCATGGAAATTTTTTTAGGAATAATCTGCCATTTGATTATTTATATTTTTGTATTAGTTTGGCTTCAGGAACAAACATCTGAATCTTAGTGGCCTTCAAAAATCAAAGTCAATCCTCACTTATAATTTAGCTGCAGCTTGGCTCCTATTCTAAATAGTCTTCAACAGCATCTCTTATGTGGAACATGCTTCTCTTATGACAAAGGAAAACAATCAAGAAAGCTGATAGAGATTCACAATGGCTCTTAAAACTTCTGCTTAGAGCTGTAGTATCATATTCATTCACATTTCATGACCAGAGTAGGTCAGATGACAATAGACAGGGATATGTAATGCTATTATACAAAAACAAGGGAAGCAATTATTTGGGGGAAAAATAATATACCACAGCAAAATAAGTTCTACTTCATTGTGTCAGTTCAGGTACTTTAAACAGTAGACATCAGGATAGGAATAGATATGTAGGGGATTTCCTGAGCCTGAAAAGGATAAAGAGGAGGGAGCGAGGGCACCTTAAGGGAGACAAGGAAGGAAGCATTCAGTAAGAACTTTAGTCTACAGTGTCAGAATAGTTTCAGCCAAGCTGACATAGAATCTTCGAGAAGTTACCTACAGAATGGAGCTGCACTAATACACCAAGGGTGCTAAGTACCATATTTAGGGAAGCCCTGCCTTAGCACACATATAGGTAACCCAAAACACTGGCAGGTGGGGCTGCAGTCAACTATGCTTCTCCCAAAATAAGATCTGAGTAGCATATTTCCATGGCTGTTATACTAAGCAATGTAGCCATTGAGAGAAATGGGGTTAATATATTTTATACTCTACTAATATAGATACTTTTTAATATGAATGATAATATAGGAATTTTAGAAACGAGAAATACCCACCGTTGTAGCCTGATTACCTTCATTTTGTGATATTCTCCAGTTATCCCCTTATGTGTGTGTGTGTACCTTTTACATAGTTGACAGTGATGGGACATTTAAGTTTGTGTCATGATTTTTATTTACTTGACATATCAACATTTTTCATGGTGCTACATATTCCTAGTTTTTAATGGCAGTACACCTCATAAATAAGTATATTAGAACTCATGTTAAAAGTTCTGGACTAGGGCAGGGCCCTCCCTGTTGGCACAGCAGATTAAAGCACAGCACTAAGAACTAAAGCCATTTCTCATGAGATTGATCCATGCCTGCCCCTGAGGCGATCCACATAGCGATCCACATAGCTTAGCAGACCTCTCCTGACCTGCCCACTGCCTGTTCTGCTCCCTCCCCACTCTTGTCTCTGGTGAATCCTCTCACCCATCTGCACCTCTGGCCTGTACCCCATTTCTATATACACAAATAAATAAATCTTTAAAAAAAAAGTTCTGGACTAAAATAGGGAATATTATATCATATCATATTATATCATATCATATTTTGGAACTCTTACAGCAGGGTAAACAACCAAGGAGAAAAAGAGTGGACAGATACCCTAAAAAGTACCCACCAAAACTGGCTTTAACAACCTGTTAATCCTATAACTAGAAAGGATTATTGTAGTCTTTTATTAAATTGTCATTGTCTTAATGTTAAATGTTGGCAGTGACTTGCACCCTGCAATATGATTTATGTTCAGTATGATTTAAATTTTTTTTAAAAAGATTTATTTATTTATTCATACAGAACTGGGGTACAGGCCAGAGATGCGGAGGGTGAGAGGATTCACCAGAGACAAAG